AAACTGTCCATCAGCTGAGAAGCAAATAAACAAAGTGTAGAATATTCATCCATAAATACCACTCAATAACAAAGGAGCAAACCACTGATTCATGACAACATGGATAAATCTCAAAAGCACTTTCTTAAATGCAAGAAACCAGATATAAAAGACTACACACTGCCAGATATCATTTACTTGATATTCTAGAAAAGGCCAAACTATACTAACAGAAAGAATATCAATGAGGTGGGCATTTAACATGCTCCCATTTAATACTAAAATGATTGTCTTGCAAAGTAGCAGAAAGGAAGGTTTTAGGAGTGATAGTAATATTCTAGATAAGCATTACCCAATATAAATAAAGTCCCAGCTCAATATGTAAGTTAAATATTTTACTAGCCATATTAAAAACATAAAAGGAAACAGGTAAAATTAAATGTAATATTTTATTTAACATATCTAAATATTTTTCAATATGTAATCAACATAAATTATTAATGAGATATTTAATGTTTTTTCATACTAATCCTTTGAAATCCAGTGTGGATTTTACCTGAAGCCACAAGTTAATTAGGACTAGCTGCCTTTCAAGTGATCAATAGTGGAGCCATTTTTGACAGAATATTTTAACATGATTGTGGTGGTGAAAAGAGATTTTGCAAGAATTTTAGCAGAAGCCTTCTATACTGATATTAAAGTAAGCTGATATTTTCTCACAAGTTGAAAATGTATGATTAAAAAGCCCTTATGGTAACCTAAAATATCAAAGACTCTAACTATAGCAACATTGCTCACTTCACCAGCTATACTCATACCAAAATTAATCCTGTTCTTTGTTATGTGCTCATTGATAATTTCTGATTTACAGAATTTAGTCTGGGATATACACTTGTCAAAATTCATTAAAACATACACTTAAAGTTGGTACCATTTATTGTATGTAAAACATATCTCAACAAAGCTTATTAAAAAAAATTAAGGAATTCCTTTATGGAATTGCTTATATAAAACTCCCACACTGGAAGACAAAGCTCAAGGATACAGAAGAAATATAAAAACAAATAAGAACAGATCCCTGTGTGAGGATTTTATAACCTAACTGGGAAAACAAGAGTAGTGCATATTACATTACACAATAACCTGTAACATTATACTTAACATGGAAGTAGCATGGTTCAAACTTTAAGTTCAGTAAATCAGTTCAAGGGAGTAACACCACAAATTCTGAGCTGTAATAACAAGAGACATGCAGCTAAATTACCAGGTTATTTTTCTATCAATGTTGTCACTACTAAGTCCTATGTGTGGTTCGATGTAACAAAGGCAGTAATCAGAAAACCAGATTTGTATCCTGGATATTCCACTATTGGCTATGTGATGTAATTTCTCTGACCTTAATATCCTCTCTAGAATAATAATAATCATTCCATTTTTAATTGCCTCATACATACTCAGTGCTGTGTCAGACACTTTACAGCTTTCCTTTCTCTCTACAACATAATATAGGAATGTGGTTACCCAAATTTTATGGATATGCAAACTAAGACTTAGAGAAGTTAAGTAACTTGCTCAAGATTGCAAACTCATAAGTTCAGAACTGAATTTAAATAAAGGTTCTTCCAGTTCAAAAAACCCATGTACATTCCACTAGATAGCATTCTCTCCCAAAGTAGAAGACTAGATGTTCTCCAAGGCCTGATGATTCGCTGTAGCACAGAACTCAAACTCTAAGGCAATGAAAGGTAACACTGAAATTCCACTTCTGCTTCTGGAGGATGTGAACTTGGACTGGTCTCAGTTTCTTTTCATCACCTAGTATGAAATGGTTAGATACACAGATTCTGGCGTCAGAATGCCCAGGTTCGTTGCCTATGAGAGATGCTGGGAAAGTTACTTAACCCCGTGTTCCTTAATGCCACCTATCTTAAAACAGATGGTAATAACTTCTCAAAGCTTATGAGGACAAAATATGTTATTAATACGATTTAATCACTTAGAACTGTGGATGGCTCTATAAATGTCAGGTATTATCATTGTGCTTCTAGATGACTTTGGAGAGCACTTTAAATCTTAAAATTTATAAAATATTTTTTACCAATACAGAACCATCTTCCCTCTGAGTCTGTGTTTTTGCCTTATTAATTCTAAAATGATTCTCAAAGTTGTGAGCTAAGAGTGATTTTTAGTTTTTAGAAGATTAAATCCTAATGATGAAAAGAAATTGCTTTTAATACAATTGTCCAAACTAAAGGAAGCTAGATTTGGATTTCTTTGTTTTCTGCTGTAGAGATAACAGTTGCTAAAGCAGACCTCACTAGTTATAAGTAAATAACAGATCTTTGAAAATCTCTTCTGTTACACAAGAACTGTAAACTCAGTTTATTAGCGTGGAAAGTCATTAAATATTAAATTTTCATAAGATCTTAAGTGCAGTCCTTCTTGTAACTTACTAGCATGCTATTTTTTTCAGTCTTTGTGCTTTCTGTTCCCTCTGTGTTGAATTCTCTTCCCCCATTAGCTTCACTCTGGTGTCAGATCAGATGTCACTTCCTAGGAAAATCCTTGGCCACCGTTTACTGCTCTCATCCATTTGTTTTACTTCGTATCATTTCTTAGTCCCTGACTCTGAATTATAATTCAGCAGATTATGTGTTTCGTGTATGTGTGTTTCCTATGACATCAAGGACTTTGTTCTGTGGAATGTCTATAATGTGTAGACCTGTACCTAGCATGTAGTAGAAGTACAATGTAAAAAAAACTATTGAATGTACGAATGAACCTATAAGGTTCAGATGACCTCTTGGTCCCTTCAAGATCTAAATATTTGACTTTATGAAGTGAGAGTCATAAAGGTAAACTGGTTTGTTACTCTTCCTCTTGGCACAGAACTAAATACATACAATTATAAATATATCAATTTCAAAATGATCGATAAACATACAATTTTCAGGAAATTCAACAAAATTATCTGGAAAATAAGTACATAAATAAATGGTTGTATTAAAAAAATAGTTAAGGAAGTAATTTACTTCAGCTAAAGTAGACTTGGTGCTGCCCATTTTCTAGAAGCCTAAGAAAATCAATATTAGGATAAATCTCCTTGCTATCAGCCACTATACATAGACATCTTGATATCAAGATTCTTTGACCCAATCTATAGCACAGAAAGTATGAGGTATTATACTGAAAAAATTCACAGCTTTTAGGGCCCAAGAAAGTCCTAAATTCTAATCCCAGCCTCACTTCTCTCATGTCATCCAGGATATGATATCTACAGTTTCAATTCCTCAATTTTTTAATATTATAAAAAGGGAAAATAATACCTCCTTGGCCAGGCATTTGTTGGACTTAAATGAAAGGATGCATATAATGCATCTGCTATAAAACTGTCTTCAGTAAATGCTGTTTCCGACCTCTTCCTCTGTTGTCGTACACTTTGCTTTTGGCCTCCAGCCTTCCTGCCTGGATTATTCAAGCTGCTGCCTAGCCTTCAATTTTCCCTTAACTGGACCCCTACTCCACTACAAGTATCCAAATGACCCATCCTGCAGTTACTCATTTCTCTCAGTAACCTCAGAATTGTTTTCCCCTTCAAATCAAGGTCTTGGGTGATTTTTAAAAATACATTTACTGCTATAAGTTTTAAAGTGCAACTATATACAATGTTTTCAAACTTCTAGATTGTTTCTCCTAAATGCTGAATGTGGTCTAAAAGTCCAGTCACAGGACCCTTCCGAGCCCTCCAAAACTCTGAAATCCTCTCATTCTGTGCTCACTTCCACTCTCTGAACTCCAGTCTCACTGGACTTCCTTAGACTTCTCTTAAGTTTCATAGGTCCTTTGCCCATGCTCCTCTGTCTGTCTGTATTATTTCCCATCCACACCTATCTTTTCATAACAAAAGTAAAGGCTTGTCTTTATAATATGTATCAAAATTGCAATTTCACTTTTTCATACTACCATTTAATTAATTTAATTTCCAATAATTCAATTCTTAACTCCTTGAGACAAGGATCATGTTTAATTTTATTCACCATTGTACTCTGAATACTCAGCACACAGTCTGGCATATAGTAGGTCCATAATACATATTTAAATGAATGAATAGTTTGCAGAGAAATATACTGACTCAAAATTTTAAATTCTCATGTACTGGATAATTCATTACATTTTTCTCCCTTTCCAAATGTTCAGTATAGTAGCCTTGTGATCCTCACACAAAAAATCTTGATTTCCTCTAGAAAAACAAAATGAGCCATAAAGTCCTAGTCATATATTAATTCAATTTTTCATGTTTATCATAAGCCATGTCTCTGATAGGCACAAAGATGCAAAGATGAATAATCTATGGAGCACAAATTCTAATTCTAATTGTTTAAGCTTCTATTGTCTTCTGTTGACATATGTATTTTAGATATATCACTAGATAACACAGCTACCTAATATGGCTCTTCTTAGAAATGAATATAGATGGTAAAACAATTAAATACATAAAATTAATCCACACTGGTCATGCTGGCACTGGAAATTTACTCATCAGTGTAAATTAATGGTTATTTAATGAACTCTACTCACAGCCCTTTACACTGCCATCCATCTAAGCTTCTAAAATACACTTAATTAGTAAAAAGAAGGCAGTGCTATTGAGTTCTACTCTTGAGCAACTATAACTCTGCTGTCTTCATAAATGACCACTCATTTGATTATAAACAAGTGTCTGAGTTTCATCTGCTGCGATTTGTCTATGGATAGCAGTCAATCAGAAGAGATTGGGAAAGTATCCCAATTTAAGGTAAAAAAAAGGCACAGGCATGTTACAAAAATGTATAATCTAACATGTGATTTTATTTTGAAATCTCCACAGAAATCCTAATTATTAGAGTTATTAATGCCCATAGGGAGAGTTCTTCATTATAAACAGAGTGAGCAATAACCTGAATTTTTTGGAACCTCATTCTTTAGAAGGAGAGTTTTCTTCTGTGCTTTTGAAGTTGCCCACAAGAGTCGTGCCATTGCTTTTAACCAAGGAAACCACAGGCAACTTGGTTGCTAGGAAACCACTGAATTGTCTCCATGAAGATCGCCACAGTAGGCTTGGCTTGAATAGAACAGATGCTAGGAAAATAAAGTTATGAAGTTACAGTTACTTTTTCTAAAAAACCTAGGATGCCTCTTTAATTGCCAGTTAAATCTTTTCACCTAAGAGGAGCTGTTTGTCATTTCTGAAAGGACATCACACAGGTAAAACAGGGGACCACAAGAGGGTGCTGCCAAAGGCTACGGGGAGTGGACACTGTATAGTGCAGAAGTCTGAGCTCCATTGCACAGTCTTCTTTTTCCCAATTAATTTAGCTCTCCAGGGAAGGGGTGTAGTGACAGCTATTGTCACCTCAACTGAGAGATATTCTGAAAAGCACACACTTGTAATTGAGTATTGTCAGGCCTATGGCTTTCAACATTCTCCAGGATGTTTTACGCAGAGTAGAACATTCATTTGTGACTCCTTCCCAGTTTTTTAAATTATTGATTTCATAGTCAGTATACTTATATACAAATATGTAAGAAAATGACTTTGTTATCTAAGGCTTTAGTGAACTTGTGGAAATTTGTTCCACTGAGTAATTGAACTGTGGTGACACTAAACATATGAAAAAAGAAAGCAAAATTTGGTCAAGCTTCTGAATTGTCCAACATAAGTTACCTCTTAGAAAATAGGGTGACCCAAAGTTCCCTTCAAATATCATACCTATTTTCTTGTGACCTGTCCTATTCTCCATGAAACATTATTTATGTATTTATAAATTTATCTAAACCTAAATATATTTACAGCCTATGTCACTCCTGGAGGAAATAGGCTTTATAGCCTGAACACACCAACACAGGAAGTGATACTTCCTTTTATACATCTCAAACCTAATTCTCAAGGTAATTCTACTATTTTAGAACTATGTATACCTTACACTGTTGTCTTTCTCCAGTTCTACTACTTCTATTCTTGCCAAGGTCACTTTGTGCCCAAGTTGTCATCTCTTCCATAATACCAGTTTTTGTTTTCCAAAACGAAGTTATGGATGTAATTCCTACTACCCCTTCTTCTATTTACCAAGAGTTACATTTGTCAGCACATAATTCAAGAACATATAGTATATCTCTCCAAATGCAGATTTAGATTTTTAACTGATATGCAAATGGATAAACTTTATCCTGTGGGTAATGGTGGGGGACCGATGGAGAGCTTCAAAATAAGGGAGACAGTAGAGGCGGATCATCAGATCATGATAACTCCATGATGCAAAATGACAGAAGTGCTGGTGTGCAGGATTACACTGGAAGTGAACGACTTGTATATTTCAGAACACACACAACCATAAGTTTGTCTGAGGGGGAAAAAGATGGAATATCACTAAAATAGTTTACAAATATTCAAGAAGCCTATTTGCTTATCTTAGATGCAGTTTTACTGAAGTAACTGGTTTAGTATAGCCCCTTTCCTACAGTACTTCTGAAAAGACTCTGCATATTGCTGGACAAGATGAAACAATTCTGGCTATTGCAAAGTGAATATCTGTACAACATGATCTAAAAACAGTTCATTAATAAATGGCATATCTGTGATAACATCTAGGTTGGCATGGCCACCTAAACCTATTCTTGACCCCATCTTGTTTTCCTTTTAAAGCAATTGCTCAGATGAACATATAGATAACATGTTTAAGAAACCAGAGTATAACACAAATCTGAGAAGGCTAATGACCATAGGTATTAAAAAATCAATATACTGAAAATGAGTAACTGTCTATAAATACAATAATACTGCAGAGTAATGAATGGATGTTATTGGTAAGATACGTTGTATACCTTGTCTCTCATCCTCACAGAGCTCTGGCAAACTCAGTATTATTACTCCCATCCCCAAAATGAAGAAATTTGTGTTCAGAGAACTAAGTAACTAGCTCAGAGTCAGTTACCTAGTGACAGAGCCAGGACTTCAACCCATGTCTGGTTATCACTTTATCAGTTAGACTGGCTAGTTTATGATTTGAGATTAACAAGCTCAGAAAATTTATTACTCACACTACCAAAGTGGGTCATATTATGGGGGGCTCTGCTCATTATAGTCACTCGAACCCTGGCTGATGAAAGCTCCTATTCACAAAGCTGCAGAAACAGAAAAAGGGGTATGGTGATTCACAAACTAACTGTTAAAGCTTCTGCCTAGAAATGTAATGGAGCATCCACTCACATTTCAGGAGCTGAGAACCAGTCGCATAGCTCTGTCTCCAGGGAAGAGAGGGATGCAATCCTTATGTTCTAAGCAGAAAGAAAAACTGAAACAGATGCAAAAAACCCCAGTGATTACCAGGCCCCTAATTCCAAGTTCTCTCCATTTCACCTTGTTGAATACTCAACACAATGACACTGAGAAAAGATAAATGGGTGGCCTCCACTCCATTTAGAGTGAAAAAATATGGAGGTAGAAGTATAGCATAGAGCAGACCTCACACAGCAGTAGAAGATGTAAAAATACTCAAGACTTACTAGAGTAGAATCTCTAAAGGAGCCATCTATTCAACAAAGTGGGTTTATTGATAGCATGAAACAGGTTTATTAATAGCATTAAAGTCATGGTTCAGGAAGGTCATTAGTAAGTGCCTGCACTTTCAAATCCATGTCTACTGTCAAAACTTTCTTCCCGAGCGCCAAGCCTTGTCATTTAATGAAATACTAGACATCTCCACTTGGATATCCAGAAGTACTCAGAACTCACCATTCCCAAACTGAAGTTCTTGTCCTTAAAACGTAACTAAGGAACCTTCTCCCCACATATGCCTCATTTGCACTGACACAGCACAACCAATGCCCAAGAGAAACCTCAGACTCACTGTGTTCTCTCCCTTCCCTCTTCGCTGCCTCAACCACCCACCAAGCTCACGGCACCTTTGCTCAGCAATGTCTTTCCACCCCAAGGCCCTTGGCCAAAATTGCAGTTCTTCTCAGCTATGCTCAAAACTATTACCATAGCCTCTTACCTGACCTCCTGGCCTCTAGTCTGGCCCACTCCAAACCATTTTGCATACTTCTGCCAGAGGAATCTTTCTAAGATTCACTGTCCCTATTTTTTTTTAATACACTCTCCCTATTTCAAAGCCACTGGCTACAATGCCCATAGGATAAAGTTCAAGCCCAAGTATGTGAGACATACTTGGCCCTTTACAATTTGGCTACTGCATTTCTGGCTTTGGTTTTTTTTTCTTCAGCCTCCACATCATGTGCATGAAACCACTAGCTATTCTCTGAATGTACCAAACATGCTACTCTTACATGACTCCATGCCCTTGTGCAGGCAGGATTCTCTCCCTAAGCACCTTTCTCTTCACAGTCTGGTGAATTTCCATTCAATTTTTTAAGATCCAATTCAAATATCACTTTTCTCAATTACACTTCTCTATTCAAACACCTCTATTATTATCCTTATCACACTGTGTTGGATTTATTTCTTTACAAGTCTATCTCCTCTACTAGACCACATGCTGTGGTAGGAATTAATTGTCCTAGAACTTAACATGGGCCCTAAAATGTTGAAAGAATTAGGTTAGAGATGGAATCAGCCAGAGAATAAAATGCTAATTGGATGGAACTAATGGTGAGGCTTGTGAAAGCATCACTGCATTAAAATTTTCAGAAAGTAGGTAAATTGTGAAAATTTCAATGGCAAAACAAAATATAAAATGTGATCATTAGTGGTATTAGTAAGTAAAATGCTATTGGCCACTTTACTGATTAGAATTCCCTAATGATTAGTGACTTGAGACTGGGGGGTATTAGGAGGGACAAGAATGGTTCTGAAAGATCATAGTGAGGGCTGGCCATGGTTTGGGCCACCAAAACAGCTGATCCTTTACTGTAGGTACTGTGCCTAGTAAATCTTTATTAAAATTTCAGGTAGCAAAGAAACAAAATATTAACATAACACCTGACTGCATGCTTTTTGAGGAATTCTAAATTAGCACAAAGGAAAGTGTTTCCCTTGAGAGCTATTCTGGCATTTTATATCCACTTATTGCAACTGGTCCATGACACCAAAGCACCAAGCTTTTAATAAAACACTCCATAAAGGCAGGAGAGGTGAGTTTCATTACCCTGCTGATAATTCTGCATTTTTCCCTTCAGAGAAGAAAGGCATTGAACCCCACTGAGCTGATAAAATAGGTTCAATGAATCCCTATAGCGAGAGTAGCATTAGCTGTGGGATTGTATAGATTTCCTATTGCAAAAGCCTGGGTAGCATTTCATTATTGAACTTGCCTGATTGCTTTGGTATAAACCTTTTCCCCAATTCCTTTCTTTCTCTATTTAAAATCACCACAACATACAAATGAAACATAAAACAATAAGCCCCAGCATGGGTTGAGCACCTCATCACCAATGACAGCTGCACAAACTTGCAGTCAAAACACCTAGTTTTGAGGCTAATACAAACAAAGCTTGTCATGAGTCCTCATAACCTGTCATGACCAAGAGGGATGTCACTGCATGCCCTGCACCTTTGTGCTTATGCTAGTAAAATGTACCCAGAATCCAGAAGTTTCTAGAATCAGAGTGCCCAGCCATTCTGCTTATTATGGCAACCTATCGTTCTGTTTTCATCTGCTGCTAAGTTATTATTTCCCTAGTTACAAGTACAGCCACTCTAGATTTCCCTTCTCCCAAAATAAAACTTCTCAGATGTTCTTAGAGCTGCTTCATATAAAGGTAAATGGCAGGATGTGCTGCTAGCTCATATTAAAATTTCCCCATTCATTAAATTTGTACCTTCTCCCATTATTAAGAGGACTTCCAAATTTCCTTGTCTGTAGTTCTCTCATAAAAATGTCTTTTTTAATTCAATGACTTATTCCAAACCACTTCATCTTTCCATGTTTCATAAAAAATGTAATGACAGCTAATCCCCCAAGTCCCACTAAAATTGTTCTGTGTCTAATGTCAGCTCCAAGTCAGCCTAAGAGCAGATACTTATACTTGAGAGCTGAAGGTTCTACCCCACTTTATCTCTAATTCAGTGCTTCTTAAATCATAGTCTATATGACAGTCACTTGGGAGTGTGTAAAACATGC